GGATTGGTGTGGTGCGTGTGTGCCTGTTTGCGGTGTGTGTTGCAGGTGGGTCGTACTGCATCGTACCACACCTCTACGGACCAAGGGCAGGTAAGTCGACAACACCAAATCCTCCCTCACCGACTCTATGAATCGTCTCTTTGCTGGTCGATGTGGGTGTCGCCTTTCAGGGTGGTCGTGACAGCGGTTTGGCGTCCCCGTCGGCCGTGCCGTCGCCACCAGCTCCTGCTGCTGCCGCCGCCGCCGCTGCTTCGTCATCCCAGGACCAACCTGATGTTCCGTATGCTCCCATGGTGCGCACGTGCTTGCACAGATCTTCCATCCATTGCGTGGTGGATGCGTGTATGTATGTGTGGGGCTTGTCTGTTGTGGGTCAACAGGAGGTCTCTTCCCCTCTCTACGAGGCCGAGCAGGTACGCGAAGCTGACCCCCATCCAGCGGCACACAACCTCACCCATGGTTCACTCTGCTATTTGTATGGATGGATGTGTGGCTGTGCAGCGGGACGACATTGGGTCGGAGCAGATGTTGTCGAGTAGTCACCCGCACCAACAGCAGGGGCCGGCGTACGATTGGAACTTGGCCCCCTCTAAACACCAACAGGTATCTTACACCAGAGGCTCCCCACCCCCAACACCACATCCATTCACCCTTTTTTGTTGCATGTGTCGGTTGATGCACAGATGTTTGGTCTCGGCCGGTCTGCACCATTCGGTACGTCACACAACACCATTCATTTCCTTTCCTGCATCCCCCTGTTCGTGTGTCAAACGGGATAGGTCGTGGCGGTTTGGCGTCTGGGCTGGCCGGTAGCAGCAGGGGCACCGGCAGCCGAGCAGGGAAGGGTGTGTCTGGGGGCGTAGCGCAGACGCGGGAGCCCATCCACATTGACCTAGAGCGCGACGACGACCAACCACAGGAAGCGGCAGACAGGGGTCAGGTACGTCCTTCCCACTCACATGACTCGCCAAGACGCACTGATGCACATGTACGTATGTGAGTATAAGTGGTGAATGTATTGGACGCATGCAGGGGCCTAAGATGAAGATCTATGGGTTTCGCAGAGCTGAAGCGAACACTGGCGCGCAGGTACGGCCCTGCACACCACTGTGCACACGAAAACGATCCAAACAGACCCATGTCATCGGGCGCGTTGTTGTTGTTGGCTGTCTTGGTGTGTGCGCAGATTGGTGGAACTGGTGTAGGCGAGGCCTCCCCCAAACCTTCACCCCACTCCCCTCACGTAGGCATCATCACATACGCTCTCCCCTCCCCCCTCCCCACCTTATCCCCATTCAATGGCGGACAAACTCCATTCACGTCGTTGTTGTTCGATGGATGTGTGCAGGCAAAGGTGGGCGGTGGGGCTGCTCCGGGCGATTCTGTGTTGTTTGGCGGCCACCCCGCACCACACGCACAACCGGTGGGCATCCTCCACACATACACACGACATCATGTGGCCACCAAACCTGCCGCTGCTATGTCTCGCAATGGCTGCTTCTTCCTGCCTATGTTGGTGTCGTTTTCAAGAGACATGGAGGTTCCAACGCACCCTCATCTGGAGCTACCGCTGCCGCTGCTGCTGCTGCTGCTGGTGGTGGTGGTGGCGGTGGTGGCTATCAACCCCCCCAAGTACGCACACACATTGCTCCATACACGGCTGTCTTGACGGTCATCCATGTGTCTGTTTCGGTGGCTGCCCTTCAGAACCCCCACCCGTCACCGTCATCGGCACCAGCTGCACCGGCAGCAGCTGCTGCTGCAGCGGCTGCCTCACCCTTAGGCTACGTGGCGAATCCAGTGGTAGGTTGGACGCATATATATAACCCACAACTCACATCAGCTGCATCACTCCCATCTGTCGGCATTCCCCTTCTATGTGTCTCCTGCAGTTCGACGAGGAATATGCCAGGCAAGTGCATGACGACATCAACCAGACGGATGAGATGGAGGAGGAGGACTAGAAATTAGCTCAGCGATTGCAGGGCCGATTCGACAGGCCCCCATCGCGCAGGGAAGGGGGCACTGGAACAGCAGAAGCAGCGGACAGCGTACGCATATATTCACACACAAGTGAATCCATGGGCGACAACGGCCATTTCCTGTTTGCAGGTAGAGTCATGTGGACAGTTGTTTGAGGAGGACGATGCGCCACTTCCCGCCGATCGACGGGCGCCCCCACGCGGCCGTAGGAGGGAGGGACGCGGCCACAGAGGGGTATCATGACACACTCTCAGACATTCCCTTGCTCACATTGTGTCTGCTTGTGTGTGGTCCAGCAGACTGGTTTCCAGGACGACGATAGTGATGTCACTGACGAGATAGATGCGTCTGGCCAGCTGGTCAGTTGAATCACACATTGACTCTTGACTTCACACATGTCTACGTAAGCACCTAGGAGAGGACGGCCAGCCTCGGCCATCCATCGCGGGCGCCTTTGTCCTCAGCGTGACCGGCCATGAGGAGCGGCGGGATCGAGAGACGGGGGACATGAGGCCCTACTATCGGTACCACACGATAGATGGGCAGGGACTCGAAGAGCGACAGAGCCACTGGGCGCCGGTCGAGGAGCTGGTGAAAAAGGACGGGGCGGAGATGGCCCTAACCTTTTATCATGGCGGTCGCAGGGCGGGCCTGAAAAGGAACGCCCCCGATCGATCCTGCTCACCACCGAAGAAGCGGCGCGCGCCCGTCCAGCAGCGCCATCAGCTTGCGTCACTCTCTAGTGCGGAAGAGTTGGCGATAGCAAGAAAGGCAGAGCGACAGCTGATTCCGTCTCGCCCGCCGGCTGCGCCAGAGGTCAGTGCACGGGACATCCTGTGTGACGCGGATATCGACTCTTTCGTCTTTGAGGACGGCAAGACATGCTCTGCGGTGAAAGAGCAGGAGCGTCATCGCCTCCTTGAGCGACACGTGGGGCGTGCTCGACTGGCGAGGAGACACGCACGTCAGAAAGGCGCAAAGAGCAAGGCAGCTGGGGTAAGGACAGACGAGCTTTTCTGCCAGCCCGACGAAAAACAACATCGTGGGGTGAATGGGTGAGTGCAGGGAGGAGTTACTCGTGAAGGCGACACAGACCAAGAGGCAGAGACCGACAGGATCCTAGAGGTTTGTGTACGGCCCACCAGCAAACACAGACTCCAGCAGCAATGTATCTTCCTCTTCGGTGTTGCAGCTGCTCAAGTCGGGCGACAGCGGCGTGTCTGCGAAGGTATGTGGTTGCCTGTCGGCCCATTAGCCGTCTCCACCATCATGGCCCTGTCACACTTCTGGCAGGCGCCGGGCTGTGGTGGTGATACCGAGATGTCTTGTGTGGTACTGGTGAACGGTGACACCGACATGTCTTGTCTCGCATCGGTGGCTGCGCCACAGCACAACGGTGGATCGCATCAGGTACGGAAGCTACACTGGACGCCTTTCAAGGGGTTTTTCAGTGCATTCATTGGCTGTGCAGGCGACCGGAGTATCTGCGTCGTCAGCAGACTGCGCTCCCATGAATGTGGACCCAATGGAGGACAACATGGGCGCCGGACAGGCAAGTACCTCGGGCTTATACGCACCAAAGTGCTAGAGCGCCCTTTCTTGTCTCACTGGAATGGGGGCAGGTTTCCATGGCTGCCCCAGTGGTTGCCCCTGCGGCTGAAAGAGGACAGTCGGTACGAATGCTTGCAGGGCATGCAGAGAACACAAGCAACAGACGCTCTGGCCTATTGCTTTGGAAATCGATACCTCAGGAGCAGGCGGCAAGGGGGTCCAAGCCGCAGGAAGCAGACGCACATCAACACCGCTCCGAGGTCAGAGATGACTCACGTGAATATCTCGTATGCCTATTTCTCTTTTGCCTGATTGGCTGTGTTTGCTCCCAGGACTGCAACACGCACAAGGACAAACCAGGGTCGATGAGCGTCGTGAGGATCGGAGACAAGACCAGCGGGATCCTCGTGGCCATCCATCCCTGCGGTCGCGTGGCAGACTTTTGTGTGTTGCCTCGTCCAGAGAGCACGACACAGGTCGCCTGGATGCTGGCGAAGTTTCGCCGGCGGCTGCTGGACATGGGGATCGTCGAGCCGATGACCATCATATACGATGATGCGTGTCATCTGTCCGACCACTTCTGCATCGAGGCAGCGAAGCCGGGGGCCACCGAGGAGGTGAGGGCCTTGGCCAAGGATCGCTTTGTGATCGATCGCGTGCACCAGTCTGGCCACACGAGGCCAAGGTGTTGGGGCGTGCACAACATGGCCAACTATCCGGATCTCAAGGACATCAACAGCGAGGTACGATGGACTATATGGCATCATCGTGTGTCTACATCGTGTGTGTACATGTGTAGGTGTGTGAGCAGTTTTTCCCCTGGTGGAATGGCTTCGCCAGTCAGCTGAGATACACCAACGTGCACTACTTCAAATTCGCCTACCAGGTGTTGAGGCAGCGCAACTGGATGAAGGACCATGGCATGCTGCCATGACATGGTTTGTCACTTCATGAATCAGAGGCGCGAAGGCTGAAGAGGGGGGGGGAGAAGGGCAGTAGCTGGTTGCTGGGCTGCATGAGACATGCCAAGGATTCGGCAGACTTGAACTCCTGGTTGAGCGTTACTTCCATGCTTCTGTGAATGGCCGTGTGATTGCTCACAGAACACACCACACACACACACACACACACCTGCAGTCCTGTTTGTTCATCTCGTGTGAGCACTGTCCAGCTCCATATACCCTTGCAGACCATCGCATCCACCCATGCAACAAACTAAAAGGAGCACCACCGGGCGCGGAGCCCTGGTACTTGGGGTGTCATGGTACGACATGTTTGGAGGCTCATGCATGTCTCGGACACTGAGCTTTCATTCAGATTGCACCGTCTCTGCTGTCTCCTCGGTCTCCTCGGTTCGATCTCACTCTCTTACCACCCCTTACTCACACAGCCATACACACACACACGAGAATGCAGAGGCCTACATCCGCAGACATCATTGAGCAGTCCACCTCTGCTCTCATCCATCCATGTAGCTATCTATCTATGTAGCCCCATTGCTGCTGCAGCCACGTGCACTTGCGCTGCATGGAAGGGCCGCCAATAAACCACCCTCACCTGAGGAGGCGCAGGAGAGCAGAGGCGCAAAGACGACGAGGGGATGGTGAAGGTGCACGCAAGAAGACGAGAGACATTAGTGCACTGACCCGCCAGTGGGTGGGGGTGGGGAGAAGGCGCGCATCGTCTCCCGAGTCGATCTGCACGCTGTGGCGCTGCAGATTCACGACGCCAGTGATAGAAACGTTCACCGACTCCCCCGACTCATACCCCTGCATGGCAGCGGCGCACACATCCGTGCAAGCGTAGACAGCAGTGGGGTGTGGTGGTATTCTACCTGCTCTCTGCTGTCCAACGCTTGCGGGCACTTCGGCAACTGGGCACAGGAAGGCTGCGTGAAGTGATGGCTCGCCGAAGCTATCACATCTCCTCTATCAAGGAGCCTGACAGGCATACAAGCAAACACAAGCAGCTGGTATGCTGATGGCCAACAAGGTGCATGCTTGCTGACCGAAGGCCCTCCCTGGACCAGCCACTCGTTGTACCGATCGATCGCGGTATGCTCGTCGAGCGCTATGAAGACGCTGACGACTAGCCCCAACTCTCCTTCACGATCAGCTGGAGGAAACACAGACAGGGGCATGTATTTGGGCACGGATGAATGGATGGGTGTCAATGAGTGTCGCTCACCAGAGGCGGTGGCGCGGCCGTTGCAGATGCTGCAGGCGAAGGCTCCACCACCATCTTAGCATCTGGCACAAAAGCACATCACCCCTCCTTCTGCCCCTCCTCCTTATCTGATACGGGGGTGAATGGACACGGCCATGGCCATGGTCGAGTGATAGATGGCACGTGGGCAGTGTCCCCACCCTCCCACCTGGGTTTCTGATGGCCGTTGAGGATGGAGAAGAACGCCGCCGGAGGGCGGGATGCTGCTGATTGCTCGGCCACAGCGGCCGGAATGGCTCGGTCACGACACCACCTGCATATACACAATGAGAGGGAGGCAAAGAACAGGTGTGGCTGTCTGCCTGCATGCATCTTCTGGCTTTCTTGTCCTCACTCTAACCTTCTGACTGCGCAGAGACAGACTGGTCGACGGTGCCGTGGGATGCACTGGCCAACCGTGGGCTCCGCACCTGGTTGAGGGGGTTGGTATGTGCTGTGTACATCGTGCTAAGAAATGGCCTCGCACACCTGCAGCTGAT